TCTTCCAGCAATAGCACAACGTGTATTTCCTTTAGCAGCATTACCGCTCCCAGCTGAAACCCGGAGTGCTGTGCCCACAGGCAGGCAGAAGAAGTGCGGTGCCGGTGTACCTCACCCCAGCTCACTGTGGCCACGCAACTATTCACCAGGCTGGGGGCCGGCACCATATGCCTCACCATCTCCAAAAAAAATGTTTCCACATACAAAAGTGGGAGGAATTCATGTCAAAATAGATAATTTGGGTACCTTGACTTGTGCAGTGCAGTCTGCTCAGGTTTCTCTCTCCCAGGTGTCTTAGAAACAGAAGAACTGATAAGGAACTGCTCCTGTGCTTTCTCTCCTTCCTCCATTTATAGGCTCAGCAAATCCTTGAGCACATCCTTGAATCCATTTTTGTAAAGGGAAGCAAGTATGTGCTCAGGAAGACTCAAACACACCTTGGTGCCCATTGGATCAGGGCCCCACGGCACCCCACTCCTGTTTCCATGGGTTTGCACGCACCAAGCATTAAGGAGCCCAAATTCTGATGAGGGGTTTCGATGTTATTTATTATCTATGTTACAGTTGCAACTGGGAACAGGGGGAGTGACTTGTTCCAATTTTAGCGACAACTGTATTTACGCCCTGCGTAGAGCCAGCCGATGTAGACATTCCCAAGCCCAGGCTTTTTATAGCAAGCAGAAGCACCCACTCCACCCCCTCAAAAGCCTTTTCTAACCTCTGAAGCCTGCTCGCAGTCTTGTGCTCTTCAGAAGGAGCACATCTCCAAGCTGAAGATGCCCATCATGGTTCAGCCCTTGCTAAATCTGATGTGGAGGCAGACCTTTTTCAATTTGGCTCATCCTAGTTTGAAGTTTGGCACAATTTTTACAAGATCAGTCCAGAGGAAGATGTGTCTGTCCCCAGGACGCTCAAGGAGTTTGCCCTGATATCAATGGGAAGAGTGCTCATCCACCAAAGGGGAAGCAATGTTCAAGGATGAAGATCTTGCCTCTTGGCTACCAGAGCATGAAATAACCTCCAAAAGCCCTGTTAAATTCTATGCCTGACCCAGGAGAGTACTTGTTGAAGCAGCAACAAGATCCCCATGAGCTTCTCAACCATACAAGGTTCCCACCGGCATGTTGGCAGTGGGAGACTTCAGGTTACTTCAGCAGTTATCGTTAACTGCCAATTCCACCTTCTCCCACCTATTTCTGCCTCCTTCCCTCTCTTGGGAAGGAAGTCAACACAGTTGGGGGGACGCAGTGTGACGTCCAGGGCTCTGATGTGGTTCAACACTGGTTCCTTGGGGTACGAAGTTCATCTTCGTCCTGGAAACTGCCAGCTCAGATTTTGCTGCTCAACAAATGCTGGTCCTGCAGTGGGGACTTCTTTGTTTATTTAATAGCAGGAACCCAGCACTACGTAATGGAACTGAGCCGCACACCAGGGACAAGTTAATACGGCAACAATAGCATGAAACAGTTGTATTTTTTATTCTTTTACTACTATCACTGCACGAGGCTGCTTCTCTTAACTCTTACTTCATTTATTACTGGCTGCCACAGACAATCATTTATAAAGGAGGGCTGTGAAGAAAGAGACAGGGGAAGGTTGACGGTGATTTACGAAACGCACCCCGTGTAAAGGCAACAGCTGCTGAACAGAAACACAAACTGGCCTACGTATTGCAACCCCGAAGGATCCAGTTCTAAAAACTGAATTAAAAAAAACTGGCTTGGTCAGTGGGCTGAGCGGGAAGATGGTGAGAAACCCACACTACGTCTGCTTCCCCTTCACTGCACGTCATGTTCACCAAGGGACGTGTTCAAGATGAATTCAAGTGCCTTCAAAGAAAACATCTGTGATCCAAGATGACATTTCTGCTCACCATCCATCCCTCCACGCTGCTGCCACTTTTAGCAACATGCACTCACACAGTTGGCCTGCGTTGACGGAGAAGATATAACCCAGTGACAAGAAAACTAGCATTTGCTAAGCACATCTATGCTAGCTCCAACTGCTCGCGAGAAGGTCCAGGTATAATTTTCTATATAAATCCAACAAAGCTGCTGAGCTAAACTGATACTGGAAGTCCTGAGTCAGCCCCTACAGCAGGACAGGAAAAACATCTGAAGAAAAAGGTTCCAGTTCTCACCCTGCCTCAGAAACAAGGCTCAAACGTCCTTTGGTTGTGAGAGTCTCTGATCTTCAAGAGGTATTTGCTGGCTTGGGAACAGGCTTCACACATCACCTACCTGCCAAAGCCAAGCTGGGAGAGAGGGAGGTGGACACAGCAAAGAAGTTAAATAAATAAATAAAACACACTATATGACAGAAAGACACCTAGAAAGGATACAAAGACAGACTGCATAGGCTTGTTTCATGCGATTAAATAACAAGTCAATTTTGGTGCAAGCAAGAGATCAACCACCAACACAGCAAGTGCCTCCACAAAGCCTCTCCCCTGTACCAAAGGCTCCAGCCATCAGCTTCGCTGGCTCTGCTCCCAAAGCGGGAGCAAACCCCAGCTCAAGAGAGACCAGTGCAAAACACAGAGACTTTAATTAAAACCACAATGTGGGAGGAGGTGGGGTAGTGCTGCTTTGGCCATCGAGCAGCCCTGGGTGCTGCTACGTGTGTGGGCCCACCGGGAGAGGAGCAGAGCCCTGAGATCCAGCGATGGATTCCAGTGGGAGTCAGAGGAAGGCAAGCAGCCGACTACCACGCGATGGGGGCACATCCCAAGCGGGCTGATAAGACTCGAACAAGAATTAGCTGCTTGAAGTCCAAAAATCCCTAGCAGGACAGACATGCAGACTCAGGCAAGCAAGAATCAGGGCTCTATGTGAGCCTCCTCCCACCTCCTCGGCAGGTCCCAAGCCCAGGGACACTGTCCCTAGGGAGCCATGGCTGCAGCTGCAGGGGAAGGAAGCACCTCCTCAACCTGGTTTTGGTGCTGTATTTCACATTCTTGGTGTCCCTCCCATGCATGGATGTCAACATTTCCACCCATCCTTTTGCATGGAAGCTCAGTTTCCATAAGACGTCCAGGAGAGATGCGTTCCCAACCCTTGGGCAGTTTTGGGAAACCATGGGCTTTAGCTCAGCCATTGCCGGCCAGATGCTGCACAGCCATTTAAAGCATGGTGACGCTTGCCAAAAGCCACACAGCAACGCGAGGAGGCACAGGTGGAGACACCCAGGGTTTCCACTCCAGGCGCTGGCTGCTAAACTGGTCCACCAGAGATGGACTCAAGTCCCAGCAAGCACAGAGACCTCCAGCACAGCTCCAGCCATTTGGATCCATTTGGAAAGCCAAGACAAAACACAAATCCCATTTGGGAATAAAACAAGACTTAACTCTAGTCTTCCATTTTCATTTAAAACACAAGTTTATAGAGTTGTTTCAGGCAGGTCAAAAGATCCTTGCCCCCTCCCGCCCAGGGCCAAGCCAGGAGCAGACAGGACAGTAGCAGTGCTAGAAAGCTCTGCTTTAGCTTTGCAGACACCTGCATTTCACTGCCTCTTAATTTAGACTCTTTTCTTGCTCTCCCCTGAGCACCTGCAAGAACCTTTACAAGAGGGAGTGAGTAGGTCTGGCAAAAAGAAAACTGTGAAAGAAAAATTTCACAAGCTTCCCCCCAACAGTAAAGCAGCGCAGCAGCAAAAGCCGAGCAGCCTGGCTGGGGGCAGCCCCACCGCCCCCTCCGTGCTCTGCAGGAGTGCCAGAGAAAGGATCCCTGCTGCCCCTGACCTCCAGCAAACACCAGATCAGAGCCCTGTCCCCCCCACCTGGTCTGGGAACCCCAAGAAGAAACATCACCTCTCCAGCTGCAAAGCTGTGGACCACTTTGGACCACAAGACCTGTGGACACGACAGCTCCTCTCATACCCAGCACCAGCCGTTTCTGCCCTCCTAGTGACACTGCTGATGATCCAGATCCTCTCCCCATTCATTCACCTGCCTTGGAGACACTGCTGCTGGTGGCACTGGAAGCATGGTCCCTCTGCCCGAGGTCCAGCACAGCAACACCAGCATTAATATAACCCGCTGTCCTGGGCTATTTATGCTTTTTGTTTCCAGCGCAGGTATATAAATGCATGTAAAGCTGCATGCTTGCCCCCGCCATGCTGCCATTGCTCTGGGGATGCCTCCCTAAAAGAGCTGGGGAACATGCTGCTTCACAGGGAAATCCCTTTGCTACGGGGCTGTTGCTACAATTTATGACCAAGCAGTAGCAACCATGGTCACCTTGTGCCACTGAGGCCAACCCAGCCCCGCGGCAGCGAAGAATGGAGGAAAGGGGGGAGTGCAGAGGGCAGGTTGGACCCAGCGATGAATGTGTGCGAACATGTGAGGTTTTGTGCCCGTTAAGAGGGAGCCTGAGCAAGCACTGCTTGAGCAGTGTCTTTGCATAGCTGTTCCCACAGAGCCAGGTCCCTCCAGGGACCTTGTCTCCAGCTCCAGAGACAGCTCAGACCCCCGCAGATCAGAAGGTTCCCAGCTTCACCCGAGAGAAGAGGTGGTGGTGGGAAAGGAAGACCCAGGGAACCTTGCAGAAGACATGGAGGGAGGAGGGAGGGGGCTTTCCTTACCCAGAATAGGGGAGAGATGGCACCCTGGGCTTCCAGCAACCCACAGACCTTCCCTACAACTTCCTCTACCCATTTCAGACCCCCCCATGCAAGCAGAGGTGGCTGCCTACAGGCACGTGCAGGCTCACACCTCACCCCTTGCAGTGGTTTCCCATACCAAACAGCAACAGGAAACTTCAATGAAATTCAAAAGGGAAATTGTGGTTACCACTGCCCAACACATACACACGTGCCTTCCTCCCCTCCACACCCCCTTCCTCCCGGGAAGGGAAGCAGAGGGCCTTTGCTGCAAGGCAGCCCCTACTCAAACCCCATTCACATGCCCAGAGCCGTACACAGCAGTTGCGCTGCCCGTGGATGCAGCAGAGCAAAGAAGCACAGCCCCGGCTTGGTCGCTGGCGAGACATCCCCGTGCTGCAGGTCCAGTCTCCCGTGCAACGCCGGCGAGTGCTTTGGATCTGTGGTTGCCGATGAGGATGTGCAGGAATGAATGGGCTGTGTGTAACGGGCAAGGTGATGAGGAGGGGGTGAGGGGAGGAGGAAGAGCGCCGCGCTACACCTCCGCTGCCTCGACTCCTCCCACGGCCTCCTTAGGATGTCACAGGCTGGATGGGGAGCAGGCTGCCGAACTTAAAGTGCTGGATCACAGGAAACTTCTCCAGGCACTGCAGGAGGGGAGACAAAGAGGGATGAATTCAGGAGATGTTTCTACCTTACGCACACAGCCAGAGCTACATACTGCCTCATGGGTCAGGAGGCAGCGAGCTTGGGGCCACTCAGCTCAGGGGACAGCAGAAGGATTGGTCCCATGGCTCCCCCACACACTCCCGTCAGGCTCCTAAGCCCAGTAACACTTCACAACCTCATCCCCTTCCCTTCAGCTAAAGCCTTTTGCTTGCTGAAATTCAGGCCTGGACCATGAGCAGAAGAGGCATGTTTACATCAGCAGCTTTCTCTCTCACCACCTCTCACCACTCGAGCTGATCTTGAAGAGCTTCACCCTGCAAACCTTTTGGGAACTGCAGAAACTCCCTAGGGAAGAGGCTCTCCCTCCCCAGGATGGTGCCCGTGCTCCAGATTCAAGGCACCATC